GCATACAAAAGGTGGCAATCACATACCATCAGCAATTAAAAGTGTTTCAAGCTAAACTTCTAGCAGAGTTATTTATATGGAGCTCAGCTTTGGACAGGCGCTCACCTTGTATCTACAGAAGCTGTTCAATCTAAGTTCCTAAGGCATTTTTCCCCCTGTTTCATCCTGTGTTCCAAATGCTTCATTGCGCTTGGAGGCTAATTTCCCCTCTATTGCATTACAAATTTGGTGTAGGACATTCAGTTATTAGCTTCAGCTAAATTTAAACCCCACCAGTCTACTACCCTTAGTATCGCAAGATTGTCATGAGAGCGCTTGGACTAAAATTGTCAACCAAAAGCTTTACTTTTCTGGTTTATCACCACAACAGTTATTAACACTGAGTTTCAGTAAAGCAAATAATTTAATTAGACGGTGCCTATATGATATTGAGCGACAGAATGATTTGGCCATGATAAAGAAATTTTGTCCATGGTATGATTATTTCCCACCTAGTCATTTTGACACGTTGGCACCCTATTTGCAAAATTTAACAATTCCAAAATACAGATTAACTTTCACTTACACAAGATTAAATATACTCCCTTCAGCTGTACTTGAGGGTCGATTTCAAAAAAATTCACTGGAAAAACAGTTATGTCCATGTAGAGATGGCAGTATTGAATCAGTAGCTCATGTGTTTCTAACTTGCATTCTTTATAAAGATTTGAGGAATGAGGTTATTACCCCTCTACTACTATTTACACCAGGTCCCTCAACCATTGCTACTGTGTCCTTTCTTCTAGCAGATCAAGATAATCAGGTGACAGCAAAAACTGCAAAAAAATTAGCAGGGGCAATTCGAGTAAGATCTATTATTTGATTATTGATGAAAACTTGCAGAATGTATCTCCAGTACATTTTATTTTATTTTATTTTATTATATTGCTATGGCTAGTGGCTGATGGAAATAAATATTATTATTATTATTATTATTATTATTATTATTATTATTATTATTCTTGCTCTAAATCTCTGGAACAAGGAAGTAAAATGATCTATCATGAGAAGTAATATTTGATGTCAGCCAACATTTTATATGCTACTGCCTCGTTGCATTTAACATTCATGCCTCACATTCCTTTGGCTCTTCTGCCCTTTCCCTCTTCCAATATTTTATAGAAGTTTCAAGAGAAGAGTATTTCTATATGCCAACAAAAATAGCACCGATAAGTAGTCACTGATAATTATGATGAACAGTCACCAGTTTGGCCTGGTGCAAACACGGCAGAGCACTGTTAAAGAGAGTACTGTTCTGTGGAGGGAAAAATAGTTTCCTGACATTTTTTAAATGAACATCTATAATGTATCATTTTCAGATGGAAGTAAAGGGGCTAGACTGCCAGGTCAATATTGACAAGTGCAAAGAAGAGATAAGAAATGCATAGTAAGAAATGCAGTATAAAGGGGGGGAATTCACTAACCTGGGCAGTCAAATTGCAGCAGAAGTTGAGATCTGAAGGAAGATAAATGTAAAGATTAGAAAAGCAAGTACAGCACACAGGAGCCACTGAAGATCTGGTGCCTTAGAAAATGTCCAGCTAAAAATCAAGATGGCACTGTAATACACAGGTACCATATTAACTTTTGATAGGAAAAAATGTGTAGAAGGTGGCATGGATGAAGAAGAAACAGAAAGAGAGAAAGAGGGGAAAGTACACAAGAGGAGGATAGTGGGAATAAATATATTTAACAGTCATACTTGAGAATATCTAAAAAGATAATCAAAATAGTAATTCTCATTTTGAATTACAGTCACCCAGAACTTATTTTTATACAGGCATAGAAAATACTGTTTTAAAGCAGCTAGTTCTTATCGAGACAATTATGCAAAACGCTCAGTAGAAGTAAATTAGGAGTTAATTCATAAATTCATACAGAATTTGGAACCTATGCTTGCCAAGACTGGGTTGTGCCCCAGACACTTGTTTTGAAGATCACAGTAAGTTTGACGCAAAGTGCTCTACATTTTGGGTAAAATATCCACAAAGTCATTCTTTCTTTTTAAAAAAGATATTGCCAAGTATTATTTAAGGCTGGATCCAAAGGGCCTCTCTCGCAATTGGAAGGTATGTGTGTTTATGGGGGCAGGGGTTCTCTACTTTTCTCTGGTTCTGTTCTCCAGCAGCCCTCTAAGGCACATACCAAAGTTGCTACAGTCCTCCAATTTTAAACTTAGGCATTGGGCAGGGGCAGACACAGCAGAGGTAAATCCAAAGGCAAGTAAATTGTTTCCAAGCAATCTAGAGTTGAACTTCAGGAATTTAGTCTGAAGGGTTTGGGGGGGGGGTCAATAGTTCATTAATGAGAACTTGTTGAGAATCCAGACACTGAAGGTTAAGATGGGGTTAGACAAGCAGCATTAGCAATGTTTCAGGTATGAGTTTTCATCATTATACATAATGCTACTGGTGTTTTTCAATGGAGCAGCCTTATTCACAGCCCTAGCTGAACAAGCTAGCTACCTCTGTCTATTATCAGGTTGTCTTTCAGCTCCAAATTGATAGCAGATGTCCATTGTGAGCAGGCTTCCTAGTCACTGCTCCATTCCTATCATCCCTAGCTAACAGGACCAGTGGTCAGGGATGATGGGAATTGTAGTCCCAAACATCTGGAGGGCCGGAGTTTGCCTATGCCTGCTCAAGAGCATCACCAATGTGGAAATGTCACGGCACAGTAACAGGGTGTCTGCACACATTGCACTTGCCTTGCAGCATCCTGGAGCTGCTTCCCCTGATACCACCAATCATCAGTAGTTAGGGCACAAGGCGATCTATTCGGAACTACTATTTCTTGCCTGAGTTAGGCCTTCAGTGTACCTCATGAGCAGGCTGACCTCATTTCTATTTCCTAGTACAAATTCAATTTTAGAAAAGATACATGGATATATAAAAAGTCTTGATCAATACCCAAAGCATACCCATTTACAAAAAAAAAAAAAAAGGCCATGCAGGAAATATATGAGATATACAGAAGGTAGGACAAACACTGAAACCAAGAGGTCCCCTTAGGTTTATCTAGCACCCTTTTCTATCAAACGCTAGATGCAAACCTATGAAATTCACAAAACTGAAGTTGCACTTATTCAGGAACAGAGATCCCTACCACGAACAATTTCAATACTTCAAAAATGAGCAAGGATATTCTCTAAAGAAGCCACAGCTGCCAGCTCAAATGATTTATCCAGTTTACAATACATTGCATTGTATTATATATCAAGTCAACACCAAAGACATAAATTTGCAAAGGAGGAAACAAAGGCATTGTAAATTATTTAAGCATCAATGTAAGCAAACATTCAAAATATCACATCACACTGTAAAATTTGAAGTAGACTTCTGCTTGGGGTTTTTTCTAAGTGTACAGAACACCTGTATATGCATGCTTCCTTCTGCCAATGGGATGGAGTCTGAAAAACACACTGCAATGTGCTTTGTCGATTGAGAAATGAGTTTGGGTCTCCTGCTCCCCATGTTGGTTTTGTCACTGCTTCCTAAGATTTTAATTTTGTTCAATTTGTAGCAAACAACTTGGCCCAACACACCTTCATTTCTCCATGTTAGAACACCCAAGGGGCGGAACAGGGAAAGGGAGCAGGCTACTAGAACAAGCAGCCAGTTATTAGTAAGAAATAAACCAGACAGAATAGATGAAAAAATGGGAGGAGGGGAGGAAAATGGGGTAAGAGAAGGGGGAATGCAGTAGAACTGAGGTAACACATTGAGGTGTAGATGCATCTACATGCTGCCAGTTCTGTTGTGATGAAGAAAAGCAAGAACAACGTAAATTCTCTCACTATCTGTCCTAAGTTTTACATACAAAAACCTTACCCTATAGGCTTCACATGCTTCTCCAATAGATTAAGTAGCACAATATTGGCAATCATAATACCGAGCAACAAAAGGGATTTTGTTGCACTTACCAGAAACAAAGGAAGAGACAGAAAATACTTCAAATGTGCTTTTTGGGGATTGTAAACTCTTCAAATATAACCGATTCCAGAAAAACGATTTATATTTCTTGCTTGGGTTTTACAAAAAATGATTTTCAAATGAAATCAGAGTTAATATTTTAAGTAATGACACAGGAATATTGTGTGTGTGTGTGTGTGTGTGTGTGTGTGTGTGTGTTTGAATGACTTGTCTCATAGCCTTTGTGCTAAGGACTAGACACACAAAAGCAGATCCATCCTTCCTGCCCAAATATTGGGAGCTATCCTCCAGATTTACTCTGCAATTCTAAACCCACCTAACTGAGCACACTTCACTGAATTTAATAGGACTTTCTCACAGGCACCTTGTTCCAAAGCTGACAACCATTGTTCCCCAATTCCAATGAAACAGGAAACTATGATTAATAAGAGACTTCTTTACTTAATCATGACTTGTACAAAGGGGTTGCATACAGATGCAAAGCAACTGTGTATCACTTGGCTTATTAAATCAATATTAAAATGTCCAAATTTAATAAAACGTGTATAAAATGAAGGGGATGCATAGCTTTTTAAATAAAAAAAAATTGCTAAAGAGAAGGCTCATAACTTCTGCAAGTAGTAGAGCCTAGAGCTAAATATATAAACTGCAAAAGATGAACACAGCTACCCCTCTGGAAATTGCTGTATAATTTATCTAAAAGTTTCACAAAGCCTTGAATAAAACAATTGTTTGGTTGAAAACAACAGGAGGCATGACAGAATGTACTCAATTATAATAGATTCTGCTAAGAGCCAGACAAAGAACTACTAAGTTAAAATAACCAGGTCTTCTATACCAGAAGAATTCTATTTTAATCATACATAGATTAACTGCAGTTTATATTTACATATTCCTGTTCAAGGTTATATAGGATTTAAATATTTGTTCCTGGGATCTTCTTCATTTGGACTTAAAATGTATCTATTTCTAGTATTCCTTTAGAATAATATATCTATCTATATGAGAGAGATAAATAAGTTTACTTACTAGGTGCACATAAGGTATGAAGTATCCAAATAAGGCAGCTGGGATCCCAATAGCCCAGATTAGATAACTCTTAATTTTAAAAATGGAAAAATTAAAAATATTTTTTGCAGGAGGAAATGTGGACTTGCTCTTTTCCCCATTTTCTTTGGCACTGGGAATGAGAGGTTTGTAAGTAAAACCAGCCAGGAAGAGAACGAACACAAAAATGCACAGGATCCGGAAAGTGTTGTATAAGCCAACTGAGTCAATCAGTACAGTTAAAAGAAAGGGCAGTGTTACAGTAAACAAGCTGCTGCCAGCAGTGACAATGCCATTCACCAGTCCCAGGCGCTTCTTGAAATAATGCCCCAAAATGACCAGGGATGGCTGATAGGTAAATGAGCAACCACAGCCAAATAAGATTCCATAAGTGAAGTATAGAGGTCCAAGTGAGCTACAATAAAACAGAAAAAGTTAACAGTTATGTTCTGCATATTTCTTTTATTTTTCCTTATAAAAACACTTTATGCTACCTTCTGTCCCTAAGAAGGGATCCCAAGCTTGTTTAAAACAGTAAACACTAAATGCACATAAAAACAAGATAGCATTAAGAGTTGAAGTAAAATGATAGTTAGGAAGATTAATATATACTAAGAATCTGGCAGTATAATAGCATTTTAATTTCTGTCTAAAAGACAACAGGTATCAGTTTAACCTCCTTTGAGTTGGAGTTCTGCAACTGGGACACTACTAAGGCCCACGTCATCTCACGGTGGCAGAATGAGGAGGGAGGTCTTCAAATGTGACTTCATTTGATTTGCAGGTTTGTGGGGTAGGTTGTGATCCAGCAAACTAGCAAGCCATAGTTAAGAATAAGCACAAGTTTGTACAGGCTTGAACAACAAGACAAGCTATGGTTGATCTAAAACAGAAGCTGTGTTAATGGACTTATCTCCCTAGTTTAATACACGTAATGGAAAACTGGAAGAGTTCTCTCTGAACAGTATGTATTGAAACCACAATTCTGTATGCTTTGTTTCTGAAAAGCAAGCTACCCACATCTTATCTTCTCCTTGAAGAGCAAATAGATTATCAGAGAAATTTATTAAAAACTTCATCTGCAGCTGTTGAACTCTATTTGCTTTACTAAGTTCCTGGAGGTGGAAAAAATACTTATGCCAAAAAATACAGATGTGACTGATGCACAACTTTAGGTGCACACAAGAACTTGGGCATGAAGACTGGATTGTTTAAAAACACTTTTTCTTCTTCTAATGACACCCCCCTCATTGAATTCTCAAGATCTTTCACAGATTGCCTTGAATAGTCCCTCCGCTGTTGGAAATTAACATTTTAAAAATAACATAACCTCAGTTTCAAATGAAATTTGTCATGTGGCATGTATAGGGGAATTGCTATTTTAAAAACAAAAACCAATTCAAGCTCCCTTGTGTACACTGTAGTTGCACAGTTCTCTGGATCCAGTGTGTGTGTTCTATCAAGATTAATGTACTATTATAAACATCATAAACCTGCTTTTTTCCATTGTTCTATAATAGCTACAAAACATAGGAGAGGCATCAGTAAAAATAAGAAACCAATATTTATGTTTAGTTAACAAAAATAGGTATATCAATAATTAGTAAGGTTTTAAGAAACAAGAACTCTCTGTGCAGGATAAATCAATGTTATTTAAAATAATAATACATTATCTCTACTAAATATTCAAAGATAATTAAATTTGGTTGGAAAAGTATATTTCTGCATATTAATTCTACTGAAAGCTTTTAGAGCATGTTCCAGTACAACAGACTCATTCAAGGCCATCATCATTAATAAGTGAGGAAGTAGCATTAAATACTGGTTAATATTTATCAGACCTTATGACTCATTAAAACAGAGATAAAAAAGCATAGAGTTGTGTTTGGTAGAAGAAAAGCAAACAGCCACATCTAAGATGTTTCTTCACAAATCTAGTGGGGAGGAAAAAAAAGGGGGGGAGCAATACACCAATATAACCAAACTGCTTATGCCTAGCATGTGGCATAAGGTAATAGAAGGCAAGACTGTTCTCCCTTCCAAAAATCTGCTCAAATAAGCAAGAAATGCTTCTTTTCAGGGATACCATAACTCCACCACTAACCTCTTCCCCATTTTGTCTTCTCCATCAGAAATCTTTCCCATATACAAGGTGCTTATCAATGGAAAGACACACTATCTGGCAATAATGAGGTGCTACAGGGTTCCATCATTGGAAAACATTAATGCCTCTTATTTTATTAAGAGCATAAGAACAGGCCTGCTGGATCAGTCCAAAGCTATTTAGTCCAGCATTCTGTTTCCCACAGTGACCAACCCAATGCCTATGGGAATGCCATATGACAGACATGAGTGCAACAGCACTCTCCCTTTCAGCTTCCCCAACTGCTGGTATCCAGGGACATACTAGCTCCAATACCGGAGATAACATTTAGCCATCGTAACTAGTAGTCATTGGTAGCCATTATGCTGGCTCTTTCCTTGGTGCACTATCTGTGCAGCCCAGTGTATGAATTATCTTGTCTTGCAAGAATGAGCAGCAAAGAAAGGGGCTGGTTCACAGCTCCATACCCAGTTAAAAATCTCATTACTGCTTTAAACATACTACAGGACCATAGGCAAGAAACCTAGACATTCTTATAAAAGATTACTGAAGTAATCTATGTGAAATTATTTTAACCCTCCAAAGTACTATATAAATGCCAAATATCACTCTTTTATGTTAATTACTTCTGGTTCACTTAGTCAATTTAGAAAATCATAAGGCCACAGAATACTTAAGTATATATTTCTTACATTTAAATTTTGTTTGACAGAACCTTGAGTAGACACTTGAACTTTACTTTCTTGCTTTCCTCCTGGACATATTGAGCTTAAAACTTGATTATCATAAATGACAGTTTAATACTTGAAAGGCTGCCTTTCAAATATTTTGTAGCACATAATACTGCCTTGTCTATGTCAGAAGAGAGGTGCAGCATAACCCACCATGCCATGTGCTCACTACCTATAAAGAATGTATGGTAAGGTCTGCAAATTAAAGCCATGTAGCGGTGGTATCTTCAGGATATATGATCAGGATGCCAGGAGGTATCATATATCTTCGGTCAGCCAAAATGGTCTAAATTAAGATACACTGCTAAAGGCCATGTGCATTCAGAAAAGTCAGTGGAATGTTTATTCTTACCTTACAAATGAGCTTGACAAAAGCCCAACAAGTGCCACTGCTGCTCCAACAACAGCTACTTTCCGGCAGCCAAATAGGTTGGTAAATACACTGACTATGGGAGAACAGAAGAAGATCATTCCCATGGACAGGGAACCAACCCAAGCTGTAGAAAAGATTAAGAATAGAACAGTTAACTTAATATGGCAGATTTCATTACATGACAAAATAACATATAGTGCAATTATAACTAGTTTTAAAGGAACACAGAAAGAAATCTTGTAAGTAAAACAAACTACTAATCAGCATTTTGTTTAACTGCCAGTTTGAAAAACCTCAGGAAAACTTCAAGTTGAACTCTGGGTACTGTTGTGCAAACTAACAGGCTAAGAAGAACCTGCTGGATCAGGCCAATGGCCCAGCTACTCCAGCATGTTGTTCTCACAGTGGCCAACCAGATGCCTGTGGGAAACCCTCAAGCGGGACCAGAGCACTCTCCCCACTTGTGATTCCCCAGCAACTGGAATTATAGGCATATTAGATAAGCAGTCTTGATCAATTATGTTAAATTATAGTAAAATTTGTATTGTACAAAAACAGAAGACCATATGATAGTAGTTGCTAGTCAATGTAGACAATACTGAGCTAGATGGCCTGACCCAATATAAAGCAGCTTCCTATGCTAATTCTCATCATCCCTGACCACTGGCCACACTGACTAGGGCTGACAGGAGTTGCAATCCAGCACATCTTCATCACTTCCCTAACAATAGGAATTTCCTTCCCACTTACTTGACATAATTTCAACAACCACATCAGGGACAAAAAACACAGTATTTTATAGATCTAATGTGTACTCTGAGGCCTATAGCCATCATTTTTCCAATATTCCCTTTCACTCCCACTGTTTAATCATTCTGTTTTGTCTCTAATTAAATTAAGGTAGTAAACTCGGAGACTTGGGTCCTAACCTTGCTCCAGCCAGTGGGGAGACAACCAGTGGCATGCTGTGAATTTTTTAATAGGGGAACAGTTAGGGCCAGAGACGGCAGCTTGTGAGAGCGATTGGGGGGAGGTGCAAAGTCAGACATGTGAGCATCACACCTCCCTCCCTAAGTCAGGCAGAAGCTTCATGGACTTTGGGAAGGAGGCTCCAGGCTTTAATACTCTAATTTACCGGGAACATTTAGGGGACTAGTCCAGTCCCCCTAGTCTACTGATTGCACACCACTGGAGGCAACATTTGTCAATTCCCCATGCAGCCCCTTACACTCACTGACAAACGGGTTCCAGAGGGCTTGAGGAAACTGGCAAATGTAGTCTCTTCCCTGGTTCTTTCTTCTGTAGATGGAAAGATCCCTTCTGTTAGCAGAAGGCTACATTTGGATCCTGACCAGTAATAATGATGCAGTATTAAAGCTGTGTGTTTGCATTATAAAGCAGCTGCATAAAACTCCACTAATCTAGATGCTGGACAGTGAGTGTGCTTGTGTTAATAGGGAATTCTAAATGATAGTTTTGAGTGCAAGGTTTGGAAGTGCAATTCCTGCAGTCCAGCTCCCTGGGGCGCTTACATCTTCACTTGCAGAACTCATACGAAACAGATGGGGTGAGGCAGAAGATATGGTCCAGCCTTTCCCTGGGATCATTCTAGTGCCCTCAACAAGTAGTACAGGAAACTGTCTGAATTAATGCTTGCAATCAATGCTTACAAATGCTCAATGTTCATCAGAAAAAGACGCATTTTTTTGGCTTTATGGTGGAAACATCTTAAATATCTACTGCAAATGTTGCTCCACATACTTCCCAATCATGACCACCAGAGGGTGTAGAGAAAAATAGATTTGGGTCCTTTGGGGCCTGAATTTCAGCTGGCAGCTAACAGCAGTTGTTGGGAACTGAAGGAAAATATTAGAGTGTGTGTACTCAGAAGCCTATAACCAAATTAGCATATTTCCAATTAATGCCTCATACAATTTAAAATTAGAGGACTTATTTTATGACTAGTGGATGAAGAATTGAGGGATAGCAGCTATAAAACAGAGGGGCATCGTATTGAAGGGCATGAGACATAGAATAAAAATAATGATGTAAAAGGAAATAAAATATGTAGCACAAAATTAAATTTACCAGAGTATTTGAACATCATAACTTAATATACTTAAGATGGCAACCCAAAAGACCTGTTTTACACATGTTGAATCCAACAGACTAGAGTGTCCAGCAGCAGGTATATGAGGTGGCAATGATTGTGTCAAACAAAGCTTTCTCCTCTAATCTTATCCAGCAGATGCTATGGGATTTCTTAAACAGGCAGGAATCCTTAGAGGCCTAGATGCATCCTCTAACTGCCAGGAAAGTTTTCAATACATAATTTTACTCTTGTATTTGATATAACTTGATTCCACTGTTGATGTGAGCTATATACCAGAAGCATTAAGAACAACTGCTTAGGTTACTTTGACTTCTCCTCCAAGATGTGGATTTGATAACTGGGGTTGTGAAGGCCAGCATGTACAAGTTGGATCCTTACCCAAGAATTTCGTGATTGATTTATTTTTTGCCAGAATTGATAATACTTTCTTTAGAAAGGGTTGGCTTCTTAGGGGTTGAAGAAGGCAATGATTTGTCTACTCTTAAATAAACATTTTTTTAAAGATAAGGGCAGTCAAATCAATCTAGAGCCTGTTTTCAACCTCCCTTTCTCAAAATGATTTGAGCACAAGATAACACAGCAACTCCAGACATTCCTGAGTTATGTGTTTTGGCTTCAGCTTTTTCAATATGCCAGAAACTGCTTGATACATGATCTACTAGGGAGGACCAAGGGAAATACTTCCCTCTACATTTTGTTCGACTTCTCAACAACATTTGATATGGTAGGCCAAAATATTTCTTTTAGCTCCATTACAAAATTTGGCTGGTCCTTGAAGGGCTGCATCCCAGTAAGGCACAGTTTTATAACTGAGGACAGTGTTAGCAACCTGGGACTAACCAAGGTGCCTTGAGCTCCAATGCTTAACATCTACAGAATGTGAAGTTACCAAGCAAGTTCAGAAGCTTTGGGGTTGACTGTCATCAGAAGATGACACCCAGGTCTATATTTGTTCAGAGAAGCAATCTCTGCCCTGAAACTGAATCCTTACAAGACAAAGATTATATTAGTGGGAGCATTTCTGCCCTGGAGAGGAGCAGTTTTATCCGTGATAGGGTGCTGTTGCCTGAGCGGGTGAATGGGTTACTGTTGTATTCAGGCCTGCTTAAGACAGATACTCTCCCCCATTCCAAGTAGCTCAAAACTTGCTACACTAATCCATACTTCTGCAACTTCCAGTAGAGGAGATGTCCTTGAAAGCTTCAAGTAATGCAAATGCAGCAAGTCTTCCATCAAAGGTCATGTCCATATTTAACCTGTTCTGCTCTAGTTACATTGGTTACCAATTTGCTTCCAAGTTCAATTATTCTTTAAAGCCCTTTCACAGCTGGAACTCACAAATCTGAAAAACCAAATCTCCTATTCCCCATAAGATCTGACTAATCAGCATTGTTTGCTGCTCTGTTTTCAAAAAAGTAAGGATGACGCAACTAGAACTAGAATCTTTGCAAAAGTGTTTCCAAAGCTTTGGAAACTTCTGCCTAAGCAAATATGAAAAATAACATCCTTGCCAGTGTGGTGTAGTGGTTAAGAGCGGTAGTCTGCTAATCTGGGGAACCGGGTTCGCGTCTCCACTCCTCCACTTGCAGCTGCTGGGTGACCTTGGGCCAGTCACGCTTCCTTGAAGTCTCTCAGCCCCACTCACCTCACAGAGTGTTTGTTGTGGGGGAGGAAGGGAAAGGAGAATGTTAGCCGCTTTGAGACTCCTTAAAGGGAGTGAAAGGCGGGATATCAAATCCAAACTCTTCTTCTTCTTCTTCTTCTTCTTGCTGGGATTTTAGAGAAACTAATACATTTTCCTGCAAGATTTTGGTTGATTTTGCCTTGTTGCTATGACTACTGTGTTTCTACTGATTTATTTTAAAATAGGTTTGTTTTATTCATTACTTTGACAAAAAAGTGGTTTATATCTTACTACAAAAAAGTGCCCACTAATTTTTGCCTTTGTGCTTTAGACCAAAACTTGATCAAAACTTGATGCAGTTCAGTGTACCGCATCAGGAAGAAGTAGTAAAAAGACAGTTTAGAACACCAATATAACTTGTCTGATACGGCAAAATTTTGTTTGCCACTATATTCTGAGTACAGCAGTATACTTAAATGTTTAAATAAATATTTAGCATTAAAATGTGAGTTCACATATCTATTATATCTCAGCTCCACTGGCAAAGCTTCAAGATAACAAGCAAATTTGGCAGAAGGGCAAGGAGGCCAGGGCTAACTACCTTTTTGAAATTCCCAACTCCCAAGTAAATAAAGTCAAATACAAATATAGATATCTAGGTAAGCAGCCAGCAGCATACCCTCCAACATTTCTCCTATAAAAATAGGGATGTCCTAAGGAAAAGCAGGGCATTCCTGGATCAAATCAGAAACCAGAACGGCTTCTGTAAATCCAGGATGGTCCCTAGAAAACAGGGGCACTTGTAGGGGCAAGCAGCAGCATTGTGGAGGCTCTCCACTTTATTATTATATCACATGGATTACTATTTGCCTGCTTTTCTATTGTGTAGTCACAACAGCATACAATTTAGCACCCAGATACAACTTGTGGCCAGAACTGTAATTTCTTAGAAAGACAGGATACATAACAAAATCTAGATTTCTACAATAGCAAAATAGTTGAATCTAGAGATTATAGTGTTGTGGAGAAAGATGGTGGAATTTATTAAGCAGAGGTTGAGCTATGTTACGTAGATATAAAAATCTGATATACAGCTATTGCATTATGGCCTGTTAAATAAGGATTACAAGAAAGAGGAAGGATAATCTAGGAGCATGGGTAGGCAAACTAAGGCCCAGGGGCCAGATTCGGCCCAACTGCCTTCTAAATCCGGCCCGTGGATGGTTCAGGAATCAGTGTGTTTTTACATGAGTAGAATGTGCCCTTTTATTTAAAATGCATCTCTGGCTTATTTGTGGGACCTGCCTGGTGTTTTTACATGAGTAGAATGTGTGCTTTTATTTAAGATGCATCTCGGGCTTATTTGTGGGGCATAGGAATTTGTTCA